AATGGTGTTATTAGCACAGTAACAAAAATGGTTTTTTGGTTATCACATGCTAAAGCTGTTTGTATTTTTATAGGGGACGGAAGTAAAGCTACAACTGTACTTGTGAATAACAAAGTAAGTCGTAAAAAATAGAAAAGCGGAGGTAGCGTTAGTAAAATATAAACAAATTAGGTAATGAGAACTTGAATATCACGTGTAAAGCTCTTTAAGTTCTCTTAAATTTAAGTCATTACCCCCTCCCCTCTTCCACCAACTACTGCTCTCTCCCTCTTCGAAGGATTTGAAAATCACTACCTGGCGATATTTTGTTGTTGCTGTAACTGACATTGACATCCCTGTCCATCTGGACTAAAATGGGGAGCAGGAATTCTAATAGGTAGTGAATGGGGCTAGTATAATATTTACCACATAATCCTTCAAGTACCAGTACAACTACTACCACGACCACCACCACAGTAGCTAAATTAATGTCACTGCTATCTGTGTTACCATCGGAGTAGACAGAGAGTCGTGAGCCAGAAGATTTAGTTCCGCATGGCTAGTGCTGTCGCCACAGACTGGTCAGGTTAGGATGTATAATTTCACTTCCCGGCAGAAGAACGCCATAACCTTACCGGCGGTCTTCAAATGAGAGCACTATGGTGTAACAGCCCAACCACAACTATTACTGCTGCTGCTACTTTAAGTGGGTAAAGCAGTTACTTTGACTTAAAGCTCTCTCAGTTAATAGAGTGCCCCCCCCCCACCCCCCTAAATTCACCGACAACTCTTTCCTTCATTGAAGTAGTTGGGAGAAAAAAAAACTTGAAAAGCAAATGAACACAGGGAAAAAACACCATAATTAGGAAATGAACGCCATGGTAAACAGCACAGCTTAAAATTCCAACGCAGATGAAATAACTAAATCTAAATGAAAATAAATGGAAATCTATGAAATTTCAGCGTAACCATGCAATCGGAAAATTTAAAAATGCAATCATAAGTATGCGAAATGGTCAAATTTAATTATTAAATGGTTTAGCCATTTACTTGTCTTTTTTTTTTTCTTCAAAGTATTAAGGCAACATGGCTAGTGCTGTCACCACGACAGAGCAGATGAGGATATTATTTTAGTCCGGGGGAAAAAACAACAAATTAACTACTGCGGATTCGAACCCTGGTCTCCCGCACAGGAACCCAGTGTTCTAACCATTCGACCAAGCAGCCACTTAATCGGATCAACGAAAATAGAACTTAACTATTAGAGATGTGTGTCCCTACTACTGTGTCCCGATTATAACAACTCAAAACCGCAGGCAACTGTTTTCTCGTAGACAGATACTCCAGATATATTAATTAAACGGCACAACAATAGAAATCGCACGTGTCTAACACGGTTAATGTCGCAGTCAATGTCTGCGCCGACGTCGAGATAGTCCTTGATGCCCCCCCCCCCTCCCCCATCGAAGGTTGTTTAAAAAAAAAACAGAAAATAGAAATCGTGTTTAATATGGTTATTGTGGCAAATATAGAGATAGTCTTGTTTGCTGTACCACGACCTACTCTATGTATTAGAGAAGGCGTTGGCTGCACGTAACTCGCCGGCGAATGGTGGAGGCCTTGCGTTATGACTACGGCGCATGCGCAATTACTAACGTGGCTATAATTAGAAATCCCTAAAATTATAAATATTAGTTTCGAATATTATGGCTTAAATTGTGGTCACCTATCTCTAACAGTGACAGGTTGAATTTCAAACCATGATGGTTCAACATCCGGTATCAAAACAAACATATCCTGAAAATTTCAGCTACATCGGTTCAGTAGTTTCCGAGTCTATAAGGGGCAAACAAACACACAAACATTGATTTTTATATATATAGATTAAAGTTTTGTTGTTGTTCTAAATCTGAGAATCCAGAAATTGCTTATGACGGGCAGGGGCCTGTTTGCGTCCTGCCCAGCTAAACGTGATGAATAAATGAATATGATATAAACTCTCTTTCTATAAACTCTACGGGGTGTCAGCAACCGGAAACTAACTACTGGTGTTATGCGGTCACTAATGTGAAGATCTAGGTCGCCAAGAAGAAGAAGAAGGATAAGGAGGAGGAGGAGAAGAAAAAGAAGAGATGTGCTATGTAGGGTACTTCTTACTCTTCTTCTGCTTTCTCCCTCAAAATAACGGCTGGCTTATTGTGCCGTGGTCGTGGTGTACAGCTAAGCTGTGGTATCTGCGCCTTTAGACCCAACAAAACCTTATTTCAGAAAATCCTTAATCAGAAGCCTTTCGCGAGATGTTTGTTAAAGAGCAGTAGGTCTACCCCCATACCCTCAATTCAACCCCAGAAGATACACTATGTTATGACAATTATGACCTTCTACAACACAGATAGAGAGCCGCATGTATTGGGACTAGACACTTACCTGCGGATCGGAAGGTCGTGGGTTCTAGTCCTGGCGAAACCTTTTTTTTTCTTTCAAAAATGACTCCGGCTCTAAGGTCGACCCAGCTCTGCATGGGTACCAGGTACAGCCCGGGGTGTAAAGGCGACTAGCGTGATGCTGAACACATCACCCACCGAGTGCCCATTAGCCTATAAAATATAGGCCTAGCCCGATATGCCCAATACGACTAAAGGCATGGAAAGGGTCGTTTACTTACGTTTACTTATAACAGAGGTGCATTCATAATCAAATCTTTATGCGGACAATCAGTATCCTATTACCGACTTGCTGAACAAGGCGAGAACGCGCGTGTCAATGGTACAATGTTGTTTAATTTGAGTGAATGAACTAACATCACAACTAACTTTATGGTCAGCAACGATTACCCGCATACCCTCTACTGTATTGCTACATTCTGTACCACCCAACAAATGATACCTTCCACACACATTGCATACCGTATGTTAGTGTTATGTAATTTACAAGTGTCGTTACAGGAAATATTCTTTTCCTTGTTTATCACCATGGTGACTATTTTTTTGCGACAACTTTGTATTGAGCTTCTACGACAGAGTATTTATGTTGTTTTCTTAGCAGTCCTACATGGAAATTAAATTTTTTTTTTAAATATATTTTTTCCTTTAGCACATTCTTTGCCGCTAACCCTGTTGATGAATGTGTCTTATTTTCATAAGCAGTGTACAATTTTAATATTTATAGCTTGCTGTCACTGTATCTTTCCTTTCGCAGAGCTTCCTATATGCTTTTGGACTCATTCAGATATTCTAGGTAAAACAGCGGTTCTCAGTCTGTGGGTCACGACCCTTTGGAGGTCGAACGACCCATTGACAGAGGTCGTCTAAGACCATCGGAAAACATATATTCTCTGATGCAACGAATTTTTATTTTTATGGTTGTGTTTGTACGCAGTCTGTTTACAGATCTCTTCCAGGTGCTTGTGGCGTTGTTTTCTTGGGCTGATTTGATCTCTTGTTTTGTGATTGTGGTTAGTTCGACGTTTGTCTCCCCAGATAGAGTAGGCCACTTTTGATTCACAAGTTTCTTCAGCTGGTCGACTCTCCTGTAGGTTACGGGTGTGACCCGCTCTGTTGTTTGGTTTCTGTGAAGTCTTGCATTTTCGTTTTCAGTCCGAGAAAGAGATTGCCTGTGACATAGGTTGCAGCACCCTCTGAGAGTCGCGGCATTAGTAAGGGAGCCACTGACGTAAAAGGTCGCATCCAATCGTGTTGGGTTCGTTGTGCTTTCTTCTTTTTCTTCTTCACTTCCTCTTTTACCGCTGTAGGTGTCGAGGGAGATATAAGGTTCTGTTTCTGGCTCTTCTGGCCGCCTCGACCATAGGCACATCGTGCTGTTGTAGAGCTTCTCTAATGTTATCCTTCCATATTGTTCTTGGTCTACCTCTTGCTCTATGACCTTCTTCTCTTTTCATGTATGCTTTGTATGGTATGGTGTCACAAGGCATTCTCTCTAAGTGGGCAAACCATTTCACTTGCTGTCTTTGTATGTAATTTAGAATTGGTTCTGTGCCAATTATTTCTCTTATGATCTCATTCCTGATCTTATCTCTTATGGTCACTCCTACAGCCCTTCTCATAGATCTAATTTCCGTGGTTACTAATTTTTTTTAATGGTTTGTTGTGAGTGACCATGTCTGGCACTGGTAGCACAGAGTTGGAATAAATATGCTTTGAATAAGATGTATCTTTGTGCTGATTGGGATTGTCTTATTATTGTGCTTTACCTATATTTTATACAGACCAATCAGCACTCGTTGGGGGATGTGATCAATATCACGCCGGCCAACTTTACTTCCACGGACTACATGGCACTCATTTTAAGACGGGGTCGACCTGGGAGCCAAGGTCCTTTCTGAGGAAGTCCAGCTTCCTCTGGTGCGGAACCCACGACGTTTGTATCCGCAGGTGAACGTCTAGCCGCTACACACCACGGCGGATCCCTAGTTATTATGTGAAGGAATTAACCATGTAAAGTATAATGTCTGTTCGTCGTGTCCGTTATCTCTGGGTGAGACAATCACGGTTAGTTCGACATTAATCTCCCCAGACCCTGCCCATAAACACACTAGTTAACTTATGATTGGTAGTTCCCGAGCCCCGTGACCTTCGCACACGGTTACGGAGGTGTTCTGTAATGCCGTTTATAGTGCGTGTTGTATATTTCAGTACGCCAGTGCTTTTACCACTCCAAAATCACGGAGAAACTGGGTCTCACAACCCCTCTAGAGGGTGCTGCAACCTATGTCACAGGCATTCTCTTTCTCAGAATGAAAACGAAAATGCAAGACATCACAGAAACCAAACAACAGAGTGGGTCACACCCGTAACCTACAGGAGAGTCGACCAGCTGAACGAACTTGCGAATCAAAAGTGGCCTACTCTATTTGGGGATATAAACGTCGAACTAACCACAATCACAAACAAGAGATCAAATCAGCCCAAGAAAACAACGCCACAAGCACCTGGAAGAGATCTGTAAACAGACTGCGTACAAACACAAACATAAAGGACCACTAGGAAATCGTGTGTACTCACTTCTCGTGCTGATATACTTCCACAGAACTGTTCATATCTGAAAGCTGCTCCTTCAGTAGCTGGATGTTGGAGTTGAAGTACGACAACTCTAATCCCACTCGGTCCCTCAACTTGCGGTTGTTCGCTGCAGCTCTGAGTTTATAGAGGTAACAAAACACAAATTTGCTTAAATATCTCTGATCATGAGCATATATCCAACTTTCTTCACATGAAATTCAGATGTACATGTAATAAGCAAGCGGACGTATTGGCTGCTTTCCATTCCGCTGGGCGGGAAGCTACACCATGATAAGGCAGACGTGGTGACGGCAGTCTGGGACCAAGTGGATAGTGTTCAGAGAGTAGATTATCCATATCTAGAGTGACAGATTCGGTGAAATTGAGGAGAGAGTCTGGACAATGGACAACATTCAAAGCGCAGGGAAAAAGACGTAATCGAATAATTGGGTTGCAAGGACACCATTAGTATGGGCATTTTTCGCTGGCTACTAAGAAAAGGGGCACCACGTGAGGTACTGGAAAAATTGCAATTCATTCATTTATTAATGTATTATTATCTTACGTTAGACTTCTGCTTTTGTTGCTGCTTCTCCCCCACCGTATATTATTACTACTATCACTAATACTATTACTTGGTTTTTTTTCCCCCAAGTTTCAAGAGACCATAAGTTGTTAACCCTGTTGCTCGGTACTATGGATATCGCAATCCTTCGACCTCGATTCCATGATAGGTACCGTAAATCTGGGAAAAATGTGGCTTTTCTGTCTACCCCTGGGCGTGAACCCGGACCACAAGGAGTTCATCACCCGGTCACCGCACAGTCCGGTTTAGCCAACTGTGCTAGCGAACTAAGATAATACTTTTACTACTATTACTTCTCTGCTGCTTTTGATATACTGGCTGTTATCCGCAAGCTTGTCTCTCGTATAAATCCCACTGTCGTTTTGAACGTGCTTACATGTGACTGGATATACTTTAATAAAGCACCGATATAGATAAGTGCAGTAACAGACAGATTAACACGGTGAGCCTCGAAACAACTAGCAAAGATCCGGCTCAGTCCCCGGTGGTAGTTCTAGAAACAGGGTGAGTACCAACTGGTCTGTGTTGAGATTCTGGTCAACAGAGTTACATGGTACGATAGAATCGCTAATGTTTCGCTTTGGGAGAAAACTGATCAAATGCCAGCGAATCACTAGGTGAAGAAAAGACGCTGGAGTTGGAGAGGACACATGAGAAAACCTGAGTTCAATATAACTATAAAGTTTTTACAGTAGAACCCACTGCGTTACAGAAAGAAAGAAATGGTCCCTCCACCCCCCCCCCCCCCAAAAAAAAAATTAAGAAGGGAACTGGAGAGTGAAGTTAAAAATATGAGGATGACATCAGGTAAGCTTCGTGTGATAGTAAAGGATACTACAACAAGGGATTTGCTGTCTTCTTCTTCTTTGGCTATAAACTCTTGCGGAAAGTTCTGGTCGTTCGTCCACTTACTGCCCTATAATAGGGTCCCGGAACCCACATAGGGGAAAATTTGCTGTGAGCTGGCTCACGGTCTTTGCTCCACTGGAGGATAAATAGAACAAAATATGATATTCTGATCAGGTGGCCGGGAAAGGGGGGGGGGGGGGGGTGAGAAGAGGGTGACTCTGAGCCAGCTGCCAGTTTGCCAGTTGCTGTTAAACTCTGCTTACCAAATATATGGTTGGCGAGCGGTAAAAGTGCTGAGATATGGTCTGCAGTGAAGGCGAACTTTCACACACCAAAAACCACCATGCGCTATGGCAGAGCTATTTAACTGGCAACATGCACAGGCCTAGCAAGTGGCTTGCTTGAGGATCGTTGCCAGTCGATTTGTATGAATTATTTTTTTTCTACGCTGGGGAAGGGGGGGGGGAGGGGTCAACTTGTGGTCAGTTACGATCCCCAATTTGAACAGTTTGACCCCTGAGTAAACTTAGCTGAATAGCCCGGCACTGGCGCAGTGGCTAAACAAAAGCCTGTCAGTCTGAATGTCTTGAATTCGATTCCCGACTGAGCGGATTTTGTTTTCTTTCAAAACTGAGTTTGGCTCTCAGGTCGAGCCAGTCTCAAATGGGTACCAGGTAATGTCATGGGAAGTAAAAGCGGCTGGCGTGATGATGAGCACATCACCCATCGAGTGAATGCCGAAGAAGAAGGGGAAGAAACATTAGGGAATTCACACTAGAGGTTTACGTTTTAATCGAGAAACTATAGGCACATTACCTGCTGCTCATTGTAGGCTAGCTCCCCACCTGCTAGTCATAGCCAATTGTGAAGATGAAAAAAAAAAACACAATAAAACTGACTGGATGCTAGACCTTCAGACCAGCAGGCGGGCGTCTAGCTGCTACGCCACCACAGGTCTCCGACCACATTCAGAGCTGGGATTAACCTAAAATATTACAATGTCTATTAAAGAATATCCTGCGGAAGCGGACTTTTTTTTCCTTTCAAAAATGACCTTGACTCCCAGGTCGACCCAGCCTTAAGTGGGTACCGGGTGCAGTCCCGGGAAGTAAAGGCGACTGGGGTGATGCTTACCACATCAACTATCATGTGCTGATTGGTCTATAAAAATATAGGTCTAGCCCTATATGCGCTATACGCCCAAAGGCGTGGAAAAGGATCTTTACTTACTTTACCGAAGAATATCTCCATTAGGGGGAAAAAAGCGGGCACTAATTGAGAAACGTGGTCATCAACCCCTATAATCACATGATCCAGTGTAGCTGACGCCCTATCACCTCTCATTCCCCAAGGCGATATCTATCAACCAGGGATTGGCTTCATATTTCTAATTGCGGACTCACCTGTACAAGTTCTCTGCCCCAGCCCTCATCCGGAGCTCTTTGTTAATCTTCTCATTGAGCTTTTGCCTCTGGTTCTGCAGCTTACCTCGAACGGTCTGCGTCAATGGATCAGAGCCCTGTAGAAAAAAGCCCACAGGTTCATGTGAATATTAACGCTCCGACAACACTGTTAAAATAACCGCATTAATTCCAGTGTTCATATTGTTATCGTTTGAACATCAAGGAAAATTGGCTAGTCAACAGCATCTTGTCTCGGAAACTAAAACATTTTGGCCAATCAAGTGCCAGAACGGAATTTGGGAAAACAATAGCAGAAGGCATGGTACCAGGGAATAAGGACAGGGCTCAAGCAGCACGAAGATGGGCACATGATATAAATGACACCATGGGTAGGAAGTGCAAGAGGTGGGAGAGCTGGTAAGAGATCGAGTTAACTTTCAGGCAGACCGTGATAAAAGCGACGTTCTCCACAAGACATGCTTAAGACTATTATGGTCTGCAAGCTGTGTTAACGCAGGACACTGCAACCTACAGCTATAGTGTGTTGCAGATGTCGCGTCCTCACACTTAAATGAATACCTCAAGGGAAAAAAAAACAAAACCTATGTACAGAACAACACACATTTTTACATGTGGTCTTAGATTTCCCATGTCCTCACGACTGTATCATTATAATTGCAAAGGTACTGCTATTTTCTTAAAGTGGTGAATTTCTTTGATCATTGACTAATTATTTGAATAACCCTAACAAAAAGAATATACAGTAACTGACACTTGCAGGAGATTTTTTTTTGGGGTGGGGCGTGGATGGGGGGGGGGGGGAATTAATGCATATGTGCAGCGACGCGCAATGATTCTTTTGATAACCTATTCGGCATGCAACGAAAAATCAACAACTCATGGGAGACATGCTGGAGATGACCACCTCAGAATGAAACGACTTTGACCCGCGTGCAATTTGATGTTTTAAAAAGTTCGCGTTACTTAATCAACCGCCAACATGCTGAATGTTTGCTCTGAATCGGTGTCTGCCTTTAAAAAAAAAAAAATCCTGTACCGCAAATAAAGCAACATGAAAACCAGATGTTTGTTTATAGTGTAAAAAAAAAATTAATTACAAAGGAATGATTATTAACAGGCTGCATGCCAAATTGCAATAACTTACACTGAACAGTTACTGAGGTACACATTTTTAAAGTTTGGCAGGACTTTTGAAAGGGACTATAGAGGTCCGTGGAGGGGGTGGGGGCAGCTTGTAGTGCTAGTGTCCCGTGATCGCACAAGCCAAATCCCAGCACCTCCTGGTGAAAACTGGTAAATGTGTCTCCGTCAGGAGCAGGCCGGCTGCGCAGACCGGCAGGACACATGATAAAAACTGTGCTAGGGGTTTAAAATGGCAACAGATGTGTGCGTTCTAAACAGGCATGCCGACGCAAAGAAAACATCCGGGGGTGGGGTGGGTGGATAGTTGCCTGAGCTTCCTATCTCCATACATAGTTTATAGGTAAGAGCAGTGGGTCTAAGGTCTGAGAAGAAAAAGAAAAAGAAGAGGAAAAATGAAGAAGAAGAAGAAGAAGAAGAAGAGCAAATGAAGAAGAAGAGCAAAATGAAGAAGAAGAAGGAAAAGAGGAAGAAGAAGGAGAAGAAGAAGAAGAAGAAGAAGAGGAAGAGGAAAAAGAAGAAGAAGAGGAAAATGAAGAAGAAGAAAATGAAGAAGCAAATGAAGGAGGAGGAGGAGGAGGAAAAGAAGAAAAAAAGAAAAATAAGAAAGCAGCGGTTCTCAACCTGCGGGTCGCGACCTTTATTTTGGGTCGCACGACCCTTTCTCAAGGGAAAAACACATATGCATTGAAGTTATGAAGAAAAATAACTTTGGGGGTCGCCACAACATGAGGGAACTGTATTAAAGGGTCGCGGAATTAGGAAGGTTGAGAGCCACTGGTCTCAATGTGGGGGGGGGGCTAATGGTAGTTTATGAGCATAATAATAATAATAATGTATCCAATGGTACACAAATATAATAATACATCTAAAATAATATGAAATGTATCAATAAATACTTTGAAAGAGAATTTCTACACGTGGTTACATGGGCCCGCTAAACCACTCCAAAACTTACTAAGCCGGGGGTGGGTGAGGAGGGGGGGGGGGTGTCGTTCGAGTGGCCTGGGCAACAAGGTCCCAGCGCCTCTGGTTCTAAATATCGTCATGAAATCTCATGCTCTCATTGTGGAAGACTTTTACTAACAAGTGCGGGTCTTGCTAGTCACACTCGCCATCGCCACAGGCTGTGACACCCCTGACTCCCCACAGCACAATATAACACAGTGGTTGAAAGGACGAAAAGATGCCACCCAACTATGATCTCGGGTTATCAGCCAAAGTTTTAATTCATCACGGTTCTGTTCTTTCATTTCACCCCATCTCGGGGGGATGGGGGGGGGGGGGGGGGTTCCGAGAGCTCGTAGGGAATTCCCGGAAAAGTCCAACAGTTTAGGTTGTTAGGGCAGGAAACGAACACCGACCCTAACACTACCCCCCCCCCCCCCCCCCCCCCCACAACACTGGACTTTCCTAGGTATTATCAATGAAATCTCGGAGCCCCTAAGAAGGGGTTATTAAAGAAAAAAAAAACTTTTTCATAAACGATTACCAACCCCCCAACAATAGTCCGTTCTTGTGACAAGCACACAAAATGACCATCACTGCCCTACTATGCTCTCAATGTAGCTATGCCTGTTTTGCTTGGTGAGGATACAGTTTGAAGTGACGAATAAGCCTATGACTGAAGTGTCGAGGGAAATAGTACCAGGTCAATGTGCCCTGAATGGCGACATGCAATGCGGGCAAGGCGGTTTTATTCTCAAAACGAAATATACAAACATGTGCCTTACAGGGGCTTAATGCATGCATGTCTCTCCAGATCTGACAGGTCGGTAGGTAGCCCCCCCCCCACCCTCTCCCGCCCCACCCTCTCCCGCCCCACCCTCTCCCGCCCCCACACTCTCCTGCCCCCACACTCTCCCACACTGTTATAATATTTTAAAGGTAAATCTTGATTGATGTGCTGACACAAGGGCTTCTTATAAGTATTCTTTCGGCAACATCGAGTGGGGTGTTGTCTCCCTTCCTGGGTGGTCTTCTTCTTCTTCTTCTACGCCATTTTCCTCTTCTCCTTCTTCTGTTTCTTCTTCTTCTCCTCCTTCTTCGTCTTCTCCTTCTTCTGTGCTGGCCTTTAAAGGGGTGGTTTGCACGTAATATAGGGGCTTACAACTAGGCTGTTATATCTGCGCCGTTCAGCCTAGCACATCTTATTTCAGAAAACTTCCAATTAGTACCCGTTTACAATGTTGGAAAGAAGGCAGTGAGAATACTCCCCCCCCCCCCCCCCCCCCCCCCCCCCTGAAGCCCAGTATCCTACAAGAGGAAGATCTCTTCGATTTTCATTACCAGAACAGTGTGACAATTCCCGAGTGTCTTCGGTAAAGAAACTGATTCCGGGCCATTATCTTGGCAGGCAGATTAATTTATCACTCATCCCCAATCAACAGGTCTTTTACATTAAGTCGCCCTCTCCACGTCACCTCTAGTAGTCTTTCTTTCTTTGTCTAGAAAATCCTCCAGCCTTCTCAGCTTTAAAGCCAACACATCCTTCCTCAATGTCTTGTATCCCCCTTCGCGGAAGTTGGCCTCTGCCTCCTCTTTCGGAAACTGCACCCTTTATCACCGTTCTCTCCAGGTTGAGAGCCACTGTATTAGAATAAAGGGTCCGTTTCAGCTACTGCAGCTATGATGTGAAGTGTCTTCTTCTTCTGCCTTTCTATCCCCCAATGGAGCATAGGCCCTCAACCAACTCACGCCAAGTCGTTCTATCCTTCGCCATTGCATGGAGCTCTCCCCATGTCCTCCCCATCTTTCCAACTTCATTCTCCAGCTCTCTTCTCCATGTTTTTTTTTGGCCTTCCTTTATTCCTATGCCCCTGTGGATTCCAATGCAAAGACATTCTAGTTATGCTGTTCTCCTGTTTTCTCAGTGTGTGTCCTATCCAACGCCAGCGTCTTTTCCTCACCTCTTGGTCCACTGGAGCATGTTTAGTTCTCTCCCAATGTTCTACATTAGTTATTCTATTATACCATTTAGATGTGAAGTGTAAGGCCTTCATGTATTCGAGGCCAAGATATAAATTGAGGTGGCCAGTTTTCTTCTTCGCCGCCTTTCCATTTTTTTATGAGGCTGGTCGACCTGTGAGCCGTTATGGTAAACTGTCATTTCTTGGGGATTCACAACAAGTGCCATCGAGTGCCGACTGTTGTTTTTTTTTTTTAACTAAATATAGGTCTAGCACTATACGCCCGATGGGAGTCGCCGTGACGTAGCGGCCAGACGCTCGCGTGCGGGTCGGAAGGTCGTGGCTTCGCTCCATGGCGGAGCCGGACTTTTTCAAGAATGACCTTGACTTCCAGGTCGACCCAGCCTTGAGTGGGTACCGGATGAATTACCGGGAAGTAAAGGCGGCCGGCGTGATGCTGACCACATAACCCCACTTGTGCCAATTAGTCTATAAAAAATATAGGTCTATACTTACATGCCCTATACGCCTAAAGGCGTAGAAAAGTGGTCCACAACTGACCTATACCAGCACCTGGAGACCCGTGTGGGTCCCCCCCCCCCATTTTCGGTGAAATAAGAATAGCCCCCCCCCCCTTTTTTTTTTAAACAAGAATGTTGTAAAAGGCGTGTAATTAGAAGTTTGCTGAAACTGGATGCGTTGGGCAAACATGCGAGGGTTAAAAACACGCTCTTTTAAGGGCGAACTTAAAAAAGAACCAGGAGGAAAAGAGGAGAGGGGGGGGGGGGGGATAACCAGAAGACGTCTGGAGACTGAAAATGGAGGATGATCTCAGCGGAAAGTTGCTAAACCGTCATGCCGCTGCGGAGCTACATAACTCTGCCCTAATTTCTATTATTCTGCTGTAACAACATTTGCAGAAGGCAATCAGCGGTAACTATTTTTAGGTGGATAATTGTTAACCAGACGCGCTGGCTTCCCCGACCATGCAGAGAAGCGTGAATGGAACAGGTTCTTCGTGTGTCGGTGGCAATACAACACGGTTA